GTTTTAACCGAAAAAGGTAGGATGAAACACATGTAAAATGTGATCTCACCTTGAGCCGGATACGTTGCAATAGACTTTTATGGAAGTTAACTTTGCGCCGCCCTGTTAATACGTTAGAAAACTTGACTAGGTTGGTGCATAATAGAGAGTACAAGGGAACAGTCTGTTGTTTATGTCCCGAAGCCGCTTCGCTACCTGCCTGCTCAGCCAATCAGGAGCGTCGTAAACGTCATGCGTCGTCACGTGGTAGAGGCTCGATTTATTGTCCGGCCCTCGCCGCCGGCTCCTTGTCCAAAGGCCTTGCGGTGATGTTTGAAACAAGGCACGCTTATGTGACAGTTTACAATCGTACCTTTTTTAAAGACAGTTCTCACAGCAGTGTACAATATAAACACTTATAATTATTGTTTAAGGACAGTGCTGGTCACGTGTTACAGGGGAATTATTATAATAATAATATAATCACGCACATGTTAGTTAGGCCTATCTAACAAAGCTGCATGATGATATATAATATTTGACATACTAGATGAAAGCCATCAGTGAACATTTGGTCATTTGGAAGCAGTGTCCATGATATATGTGTACGTACTGTCAGAGTATGACAGTTTAGCCATTCTTTAAAAAAAGGTGACCTAATTAATCTGTGTATTATATAAATAGGTGTTCAAAAATCAAATCACACAAATGTTTTTAATGGATAATATAATTTTTAACAGGGACCTGATAGAAGGGATGTGACCAAAATGATTAAGTTTACATCATACGATTTATGCATCAATGTCTTTACAGCTGCTTCTGTTTTTGGCAAGCTGCCACCTTCTATGTCTCCAAGCTCAACAGAAAGCATGTGACCCAAACAGACTGGCAGGTGGTCAGATCCTGGTCAATCCAAGATCAAAATGCAATATGCCTTTAAATATACCTTGTGTTTTCATTTATTCATGAATATTCACTTGGACGTCACATTTCCCTTTGTAAATTGCTCTGCACTAACGATTCATAATTTAGAGTTAATTGGACAGGCCTGACTTATTAAATATAATGCACAGGGGTTTAATTTTAAATGACTCATAAGGCAATGTGTACAATTAAGCATGTCAGGAGACTTAAAGTGAGAGAATAATTCATAATATATCCAGGGAGTTTCATTTTAAAAGTGTCGCCAGGAATAATAAAAACGTATAAAATATCCTACTGAGAGAAGGAGAAACTGATTAAGCAAAACGGTACACATTTTACCAATCTAAAGTATATATTTTTTAATGCTATTTCTTAATCATTTGACTTGGTTGAACCCCTGGCTTATTAATGTCTTACTGTCAGCCAACAACATAATGCACTCAAATTATCACTGGGATTAGGTCTCAGAGTGTAATACCACATGGCCAACAGAGGGCTCTTTCTGACCACAGACAGGCACCCTTCCTGTTTTTAGCACACACACAAACAAAGCAGTAGACAAACCTAACCTAACTGAAAGCTATACACATTTTGTCTGTGGAACACATTAAAAATGTATTTGGGCATATACACCATGTATAGTTAAGTCATGTGTCTCTATAGATTTCTTACTGCAGGGTCCTGTTGACTTCTGACCAATCTTGTCTAAAGTTTGAACTGTTTCTATTTACTTCATATTTATATATCTTTTTTTAAACCATATAATTTGCATATAGGGCATTTGAAATGTAATATTTGATTAAATGGTTAGATTTCGACCCTGTGAGTATGAAAACCCATGGTAGACAACTCAAACAATACACACTGTTGTCAAAGCCCCATCCTGCCTCTCCTCCCTCTCCTTTCTGCCCTTTAAATGTAACTTCCATGTTGTCCCATCATATGATTTTTGCCTCAGATGGGAAATGTGTTCACAGCCCCTTCACTGTGTCAGGAATAGTCTAGCTGTAACTGTAGCTAGTTTTATAAATAGGCCCTGGCCAAAGTTCAGCATGCGGCAAAGTGTCTCGAGACTTTTGCAGATGAGAAAGATCTTAAGAGAGGGACTTAACTACTGTTTGAAGTTAATCTAGTACACTTTAATGTTCGTATGAAACTGCTGTATACTGAATTGAAAATGTTATTTTTAGAATTTTTAAAGGTGCCTGTTCAATAATAATACATTCTTTGAATTTGCTGTCAATTATGTTTTTATTTTTTAACAGATAACCATTCTGGTATGGAGAATGAAAATGAACAGCCTTGTTGCACCATTGTTCTTGTATATGTCCAACATATCGCTGCCTACTCTGAAGAGCTAAAAATCATTCTTTCCCTCATAACAGATTCTCTGCATTGTCTAGAAGATCTGGTATACCTGAATTACCAAATGTTAAGCCTCAGTTGTTGAGCTAGTGTGTCAATAAACACCTATTGGGCAAAGCACTTAAAACTGTAATGGGCAAACTCTGTTAATGTAATAGTTGACTGGTTCTAGTGGCCCTAAGTCTTGAAGGATACTGGTTATATATAGGCAGCTCTCTTTCCTTATAAGGCCTCAGGCAGAGGCAGGTGGGGGTCGGTTAGAGACGGCTGATGGTCTTCTTTGGCCTGGTACTTGGTTTAGGCTGACTCCCTGTGGATTCAGGCTGACAACCGAAGTTGCTGCAAAGAAAATCTCAAGGGGTAAGACAACTATAATTTCACGCTCCTTTTATTTCTAACACCCTTGTATCTTCATCTTTAAATCAGATTTTGTGTGAAACCCGATCGAGCAGGTGGGATTAGTTGGGTGGAGGAATAGAAATACCAGATAAGGGTACAACCAAGAGATGTTGCATGGCCCTTAACAAGGGCTGAGGATTTACAATGTAATGCATGGTAGAACATATGAATAATGAAGGTTAATTAGGTGCTGAAATGTAATCTTAATATATAAATGACCCACTGTTTTGACGAGTTGCCTAGTTTGAGACAGGACAATTATACAGCTGGTCTCTGTGTGTTTATCATAGTTAGAATCCTAATTGGTTAAAATGGACTCCCACTGGAGAGTCCAATTTGGTGGGAACACTTGGGACCATTGCTTCAGTGCAGAAATAGCTAGTGTTTGCTCTGGGACTCAATGTTTGGACATTGCTTTCATCGTTTCAAAATGAAGGAACTCAAATACAAACAAGCCATCATTGTTCCATTGTATTGCAATTGCCACTAGTCAGCACACAGCAAGTATTTGAAACAAAACACCAACCGTTTATGACCAAGCTGCAGAATATCAGAGGTTTTACGGTTTTGGTTGAGAATGTTAGAGGTTTCCTGTTACAGATGCAGAGACTCAGGTTTCATTTCACAGGCATTTGTACTGATTCAGTATGTCAGACTAGAACATGACTTGCCTGCTTTGAAAACTCATGTGAGGACAGTTGAGTTTAATGCTGATTTTCTTTGGAAACACAATGTCTTCCTAAGTCTGCTGATTTCATCTGATTTTTTGGAGTAAGGCTCTAAGGGGATCTTCACTTACTCTTTACTTAAAGGAACAATTCCACCATCTCTATCTTATATGTGAATGTCCAGTTTGTGTTAATGATAAATGTATTCATTTTAAGCAATGAATCAATATGTGTCATATTGACCAATTAAAGCTGAGTTCGCAGCTGCAAAATATGTTGTTCCTCTTGCATCAAGCAGTGTCATTTGACGTGGCGTAGTTAAAAGGTGAATTTCTAGTCTCCACCTCTGGATAGCCTGTTGGTGCAGGTGCTCAAAATCAAAACTTCCTATCTCTCTTGTTCTATTTTTTAAATGAAGAACAAAAAAAACTGCATTTCTTTTTGCTTGTATTGCAAACTAGCTACATTTCCAACAAAATCCCCAAATATGGGTGCAGAGTCTGTTTTTGGGAGAGGACACATTTTACAGGGTTTTTTGCGGACCTAGACCTTCAGCTTTATTTATTTTGGCTAGAGGATATGGTCAAAAATTGCAGAGGTAAGAGGATAAGTCAGCTGGTGCATTAGCAGTGCAAGAGGAAGTGACACTTTGGGCATCAGAAACAATGCTTCCTGATACATGAAGGCACTTTTCTTGGTCAATGTATTATGCACTGGTGATTTTATTGACATTTGCCATCAACACCGATTGGACATAAAAGGTGGCAAAGTGGTAAAGTGTTTGGCAGGCTGGTTCACTGACCCTTAAGTAACTTTGGGGCTTTTCCACTACTACAGCTACATTATTCAACCGGGGATTTAACTGTTTTTATTTTTTTCAGGGGACATGTGTCCATCTAATTGACGTGATGCTTGATTGTCAGTTTTTGAGCTAGACGCGACTTAAACGTGCAAGGCAAGTGTTTTCAGAAAAAGGCAGAAGGGAAAGTCTTTGCCAGTAGATCATGTCTCAGTAGCTTTCGGGGTGAGGTTGGGCAGGGAGAATCGCTTCATGTTTCATCTGACCTTATTTATAGTCTCTGAGGACTTAGTGACGTAAGGAAATTATGTTCCACCGCCGCGTGATGTAAGACAAAGTTATGTTCCTGCTTTGGTATGCGTACTGTAAAAAGTGTTCATGTCTGATGTTATTGTTTATGCCACGTGATATGTGTGTCAGTGTTTCCCATACTTAATTTATTTGCTTTAAAAAGTATTTGTGCCATTTTATATCACAGGATATGACATGTGCCCAATAGAAAAGCTTTTATGATAACGCCTATTATTTTACGCTCACATTGAGTAACATTTTAATGTTTATTTTAGTATTGTGTCAATCTCTTGACACAATCGTTTATTATATGTAAAATATGGGTATTCACAGTTCACCAATGTGTCTAAAATTGTAATACATATACTGTATTATGTGCTCTGAATTTGGATCCGTCAAATTGTTAGACAGTCTTTGGTGCAGCTGTACTCATTGTAAACATTACTGTTCCAACAATAGTCTACATGCCTTTTGTTTTTGTTGGTGAACACATGTGTCTGTGTTAACAGTGTCTTTAAATCAATGTGTCACCTTGTCATTCCTGAAGCTGACAGTGAAAGCTTTTTGTGTGTGTGTGTGTGTGTGTGTGTGTGTGTGTGTGTGTGTGTGTCTGTGTTTCATCTCTTTCCTTCTTCGCATTTTTCTTCATTAAAGCAGCATCTCCTTCTAGAAGTGTCTTTGACAGGGTTGGTAGCCCTTGTGTTTGTATAAGTTTGTGTCACTGCGTTGTTGGTCCGATATGTAATTGTCGATCCACTCTGT